GCCCAAGTCCCAACCTGACAAAAATACAAGCATACATAAACACAATCACACAGTCCCACCCTCATACTCTAGGTCCGCTTATTATAAGCATCGACTTCTTTTTTTTAAAGTCGCTTGTAAATTCTGTGGTTATTCGGCGTTCATGTTCGCACATACCTTTCATAGTTCCTGAGACCCCTGCGCCAAGCTCCTGGGAAACCCCCCTCCCCACTGCTGCATACGTCACTACAGGGGATTTCTACCCAGAGGGAATCCAATGCAGAAATAAAAAAGTCGTGACACTTGTCACTTGACGTTGTTTATCCACAAACTGGTCCAGGATTAAGCTCCAAAGTTTTTATCAGTCAGATTTCACCATGAAAACAGTCTATTTTATCCCCTTTTATGAGCTTTTGGCCGTTTGACTATAAATTGCTGTTTCCTGGTAGTCAGCGTTCGAAAGAGTCACTTTTTTTCTCTCTTTTTTTTAAGCGAGTGGCAAATGCAGTGTCTGAGTGCTTTTAGCACAAACAAACAGTCCCACAAACATCTGACCAATCACACCATACAGTTCGTATGTGTTCTTATGTGGAGGGGGGTGAAAAGTTCGACCCGCACACACACACCAGAGCCCAGAGTGACGGGGATGAGCAGGGATGAGGGAATGCGCTCCGGTCCGGTTCGGAACTGGTTAAAGTTATTTGTTCAAATGTATGATTGTCGTGGATTATTTGTTTTGTAACTAAACATTATAATATGGCACACATTAGGTCATTTGTGACGCGCCAAAGTAAGAAGATGACGAGAAGAGAGATGTGAAGAGGTGCTGCGCACCTTGGCTCCGACTCCGAGAAAAAAAAGGAGACGCAGCATTGTTATTTTATTCCCTCATTTGCACAGATCACAATGATGATGAAAATTACAACATTTTAATTTACAGAGAAGGGTGCATTTAAAATTTAGTTTACATCCCTGGCACAGCATTTAATTAATTAATAAAGATCGCCCTTAAAAAATTGCATTCCAACCCTTCAATCGCCGATAGACGATTGAATTATAAATCACACCATCCCTATTTGAAGTTTTCCAAGCTATGAGCAGATCTAATGTGAATGGGCAAGTTGTTCCATAGACTGGGAGCAGATACAGCAGAGTGGTGTATCTGAATGCTGATGCCTTGCTGTTTACACASGGTTAGCTCTAAATCATACATACATGATCCGATCTGCACCACATTGTGTGTGCACCACCAGGGAGACCTGCTCAACATGTTTGTGTAGTAGTTTGACAAGATCACTTTAGTCCCCTGTTAGTCCATCCATCTGCTCACCTTGTGAGATTATTTAAATAATGAAGGCCTGTCGTGTTTCCAGCAAAACTGCTAACAGTTGGTCACTACTAATTGGCGATGAGAGACATCAGTGATGGTTGATGTCGAGTTCTATCTTTTACAGTTTCATTCATTCCTCTTTGATTTTTCGATTTTTGTAATAAACTACCATAACGACAAAGCTGGTTTTCTTCATCATCGAGTATTCATGCTTAAGAAAAAAGTTCACTGAATCTTACGATCTCACACGTTGGTGTACATGTCTGACTTATAATGAGTGATGGTGCCCCAACAGGTAAAATAGTGTAGCACAGTGCAGAAACAGTTATCACCCTTACTGCTTCTCTTCTTGTTCTCACTAAAATATACAGAATTTATAGTTTGTATAATACATTGAGTGCTTTACTTAAATTTGCGATTCATGACAATACAACTCAACAAATTCAATAATATGCCATTTAGTTCATGATTTAGTAAAATAATGGTAAATAAACCTGCAGTGGAACTATAACTGCTGTCAAAGATTAAGTTGCTGGTAACTCTGTCTCTATTCACCTTTTTATGCCTATTATTTCTGTATATAAATAAATATTACATGTCACCAACCTGTAAGCATAAATGTTATGGGTGGCACTGGCAATCTTCTTGTTTTCATAAAGTTTCTCCAGAACCATTTTAACCTGCAACAAAAACATAAAACAATGACCATAAGAAAACCCTGCTGATATATAAAAAATATAAAATATAAACAGTACCATATACTTTATTTTAAGCACAGTTTTAACTCCAGAAACATAACAACAGACTAAATCCAGCAGCTGATGTTCCTGAAGTTAAAATAAACATTATGCTGCATGAATGACAATTTCTGAGGTCAGTGTGTTGTCTGACGCTGCTGACTAATGCACATTAGTCAACCTTAGTCAAGTATTTAGAAGACCTAATTACATCTGACATAAATAAAACAGATTTCAGAGGATGAAATCTCTATTTAACTGCAATTTGTGGTTTGGTAGGGCTAAATGACACAACACATTATGCTTAAAGAACACTGTGGAACATGAGTTTCCTAAAACTATTACTACCCCTGGCAAAAAGTATGGAATCACCAGTCTTAGATGAGCACTCATTCAGACATTTCATTCTGTAAAACAAACTCAGATCAAAAACATGATACAATAATAAGGTCATTCCAAAGTGCAACTTGTTGGCTTTCAGGAACACTCAAAGAAATGAAGAGAAAACATTGTGGAAGTCAGTGTTATTTTTATTGACCAAGCACAGGTAAAAAATATGGAATCACTCAATTCTGAGGAAAAAAGTATGGAATC